AAAAGCTTTTTAGTTGGATGTAGTCCCACCTGGATGCTTTAAGTGGCACAGAGTGTTGCCCACTGTAGAATTGGACTATCCCAGCTCCAAGGACTGGACTAGATGGGATTAATCTCTGGTCAGGGCATCTTCTTCCCAGTCCGTTCCTTTATAGCTACCTGACTTCTCTGGTGACTGACATGGGATTGCCTTGATTTGTGTATTTTGACACAGACTTCCTTAGGGCATATTTGTATATTGAGTCAGTTTTTAGTCAGATTGTGCTGCTTGAGCATCATTCTGGTTTTTTTAAGGAGCTGCTTTCCACTGTTACTTCTGTGGTCTATTTTTGTAAAGCCACTGTCTGTTTTGAATTTTGCAGGCTATATCTTTCAGAGTCTAGTCTCTGCCCATCTAGTGTATGAATCCCTGGCTTAAGAAAACTCATACATTACCTGTTGATTTCATAGTAGAACTCTGAAAGCTAAGCGGTTTGCTCTCCATTCGTGAGTTCTAGGGAGGCACCTTGTTATCACATAACCCATATATACTACCTGTACCCTGTTTCTGTCTACAGAAATAAGTGGATTTTTAAAAAATATACCAGAGGTTTGTTACCTCATTTACTTCTAGATCTTTTTGTTTCTTCCTTAATCATTCATACATTTTCTTTCCCATTCCAAAAAGAGATAATGGAGAGTTCATTCCGGCCTTAAGACTCAGGGCACCTTATCTGGTGAATCATCACAGGCCTGATGGTGGGTGGGTGTGGTAACTGGGAATGGTTTTAACTGTGACAGATGAACATTTTAAGGATTTGGGAATAGAACTGGGGAAAGGAGTGGTTCCTGCAGCCTGTAGCTTTTGTTTCTAGAGGGGAGAACTCAGTTTTAAAAATCTGCACTTCCCCCCCTCCCGCATTTATCTGTATTTCTATGTCAGTGAAGTGCTGGAGGAGGACTTCGGTAGTCCAGCCTTTCCCTGGGGAAACTGGATATTAAGTTTCAAGGTGGTAGTGGTTAACTCTCGACGTAGCCAGTGATTTTAGTTTATCACATTTAGATAGCTTTTATTTCATGGTGCATAATGAATAGATCTGTAATGCCTGGACCTGGTTATATATTGGATACCTTGTATAGTAGATGCTTAGTCCGTTCATGTAAAGGTTTCACTTAATGGACATCTTGTAAATATGGTCCAGGAATATGTTCAATGTCACTTCAGCTTTTTACTGTGAAGTTGGTTCTGTTTATGTGTTATTTTCAAGTCTCTTAATACAGGTTAACTGAACTCCCCACTTTCGTGGGACATGGCTCTCGTTTAGAGAGGAAAGAACCTGCCACTGCAGAAAAGCAGCTTGCTTTTGTCTGTGCCCTAATGAGCTTATTTTATGTAAAGCATGTACATGTGCGTGCACACATGTGTGTAAGAAAAGTCTGGTAAAGTGCTTTCTGTTTAATTATCTCATGAGGTATCCAGTTTCATTATCTACTGTGTCCAGCCCACGTATAAGGCCTTAATGTTAAAGATAGTAAGAGGCATAAACTACCATCGTGTAGTGGCTGCTTTAGAGACTTTTTTTTTACCAAAGTACCTCTCTGAAAGAACACAGAAGCTAATGGAACTACGAAAACATGGAGAACCCCAGGAATTAGTGCACGTAGAATGTGAAAAGCCTGTATCTTTTAAGAGAAGTAAATGTGCAAGGAAGTTGGACTTTAAGAAGTAGTATGTGCTCAGTAATTGCTCACATTGTTCACTGTGTGCCCGGCAGAGCGTACTCTGGCACAGGGCTCTCAGGTAATCATCACTGCAGCCCTGGGAGGTAGGCTGTACTATGAACTCCATTTTATACATGTGAACATTTAGCCACAGTGGAACGTGCTGCCCAGGGCCATTCATATAACTCAGTGAGACGGAGCCAGGATTTAAATGTAGATCATCTACTCTGAGACCCTTGAGATTTAGGAGAGGGCTGAATTCTCTCTGACATTGTCCTTGATTGTTAAATTCTTTTTAGATGGCAACACTTGGGGAAGCTCGGCTAAGGGAAATGGAAGCCTTGCAGTCTCTCAGACTAGCCAATGAAGGGAAGTTGCTGTCACCTGTCCAAGATGTGGAGCTGAAAGTCTGCCTATGTCAGAAGGCCCCAGCTGCCCCCATGATCCAATGTGAACTCTGCAGAGATGCTTTCCACAGTAGCTGTGTGGCGGTACCCAGTATTTCACAAGGCCCCCGCATCTGGCTTTGTCCCCATTGTCGGAGGTCAGAGAAACCTCCATTAGAGAAAATTCTGCCCCTGCTGGCTTCCCTGCAGCGTATCCGAGTTCGCCTTCCTGAGGGAGATGCACTTCGATATATGATCGAAAGAACCGTGAACTGGCAACACAGAGCCCAGCAGCTGCTTTCATCAGGGACTCTCAAATCTGTGCAAGATCGAGTGGGCTCAGGACTATGGTATAGCAGATGGCAAGCTTCAGCAGGACAGGTGTCTGAGACAAACAAGGTGAGTCTGGACTTTTCTTTGCCAGTTACTGGAATCTGCCGAGCTCTGTCCCTTTCCCCGGCACCTTCCGCTCTGGTACTGTTGCTGTTCCTGGTGATGGCTTGACTGGTACCAGCGCTCACTTTTAAGCTCCCCGCTTCGAGGGCTCTGTGTCCCTACCGTGCTGCTTTCGTTTTCTCTGTTCCTGGCACTCCGAAGGTGTCTCTCAGGCAGTCTGCTTCTGGAGAGCAGATTTCACCTTTTCATAGATACGTATAGTTTTCCCATTTATGTGTATGAATTCCAGACACATATTTAATATGTATGGAGTTTTAGAATTTTTATTTGACTGCTTTTTTCCCCCTGCTTCCGCTCATGTAAGTCACTGACTAGAGGGGAAAGTGCTTTCTGCCTTGTGTCTCTTACTGCCCCTTGAGGAAAGAATAAGTTCTGAAGTGTCTGAGTACTGTGTTGCTTCAGAGGAAAGGCAGTGGGTTTCATACCATCCATGATCTTTCTGCTATAAAAGCAAGATTCTTCTGACCATCCCTGGATGGGCAGAGTTTTTTGTCTTCTTCCATAGAAGGTGACTGCAGGAAAAAAATGTGAAAATATCAGAAGAGTACAATCAGAGGGCAGTGTTCAGTCTTGATATGAGTGTGACCTGATTTTCAGATCTCGTACAGAGTTCTCTAGCCAAGATCTCGCAGCTCTCTTGTGCTGTACTAACACAGACAGTGAATTAGGAGTTAAATGTTCAGCTGATCAAAGATAAAAGACAAAAAATTGATGTCCATCATATTTGTATCCTTGTTTTCTTTTACATTTCTTTCCAGGCTTGTGAAATACAGTGTCTGGGTCTTAGCAAATGATGAATTAAATTTTAGTTGCATAGGGTGAGTTGTCGTCATTTGGGTAGCCTGTAGGGGAGACATTTATGTTCTTTACACAAGACAGGCTAGAAGTTCACCTTTATTGACAAAAGGAGGGGACACAACTGTTACTTATTTACTAGTTCAGAGTCAAAGGAGTGTTTCTCCTAGCACTTTTTAATAAACACTAAGGAAGGGAGGAAGGTGGACGTGCATGAGATCTGACAGTTCCTCAGTCAGTTTGCTCAAAGGGGCACATGTCTGTGTTCATTGTGTTATAACCTTCATTAGGAGAATTACATAGGGTATAAAAAGGCTGTAAGATCTGTTCTCATGCAAAGAAAATACTTTATTTCCCAACGGTGCTCTTGACCTCTGTGGAATCAGTCCAAGTAAAACCAGGAAGACTAAAGGCTTGGTGGATATGAGTTGATTTGGCTAAATCTAAAATACTTGGAGACTTCTTTCAGTTGGGAATTGAAGTCCTTCTTTCCTGTTTGCCTGCTTGATAACCCAAACTACATTCCTTGGACTGGTGGGAGAATTTTTAATCTGAAAAAGCCTTCCTATAAAATGTTTTCCTTCCATTAGGTGTCTCAGCCTACTGGCACAACATCCTTTTCCTTGCCTGATGACTGGGACAGCAGAGCCTCATACGTACACTCTCCCTTCTCCACTGGCCGAAGTCGTATCCCCCTCCATGGTTTGTATTTATTACGTTGATGAGGAGGAGGAGGAGGGCTGGGTAGTAAAGAGTAATCTTGCAGTAGGTTTTTGTTGTTCAGATACATGAAAAGACTTTATCCTCAAAGGTCAGATATGGGTTACTAAGAATTTGCAAGGTAGGAGGAGGATCATGCTTGAAGGTTTATAAATGCAAAGCAAATAGGAAAAGGCTTTAATACATTGCTTTCAGGGATTGAAAGGGTTAATCCCATGCCAACTGACTTTTAAATACCAGCCATTTCAGTCAGATGCTAAGTCTTGGGCTTCTTTGGGATCGTAGAGATAATCTATACTTGAAACCTACCTCCTTTTTTCTATGTTGACTCAAACTACACAGGTCCACTTATACACAGGTTTTCTCAATAAATACAGTACAGTAAATGTGTATTTTCTCTTCCTTATGATTTTAACAGTCTCTTCTCTTTAGCTTGCTTTATTCTAGGAATAGTATATAATACATAAGCATACAAAATATGTTAATCAGCTGTTCATGTTATTGGTAAGGCTTCCGGTCAACAGTAGGCTATTAGCACTTAAGGTTTTGGGGGGAGTTAAAAGTAACCCATGGATTTTCCACTGTTTTAGGGATTTAGCACCCCCAACTCCCACGTTATTCAAGGGTCAGCTGTGCTTACGTATACTTGACTGCCCCAGGAGTTCTGCCTGCAGCCGTGGTGGGAGTCCTAATCCTTAGTCATGCCCTCCCACTATGTGTTTGGTAATGGGGTTGGAGCTACTCAGTCCACCCAGATTGCCCACGTCTTGGCCTGTTCTGTGCTTTCTATTGAAAGCAGAAGCTATCAAGGCAGATGCACGACCTCTTCTGTGTTAGCAATAATTAAGTGAAGAGGGGATTCAGTGTAGACTTAGTACTTCCCTAGTAATCAGAAGCCTGAGAAAATCTTAGTTTGGGCTCGTATTATATCGTGGCTTTAGACACATTACATGAACCTAATATAATTTTACAAGGCGAGGGTGGCAGTGGTATGAGGGGTATGAGGGGTGGTCCTGCTGTGCTTGCAGGTCTCAATGTCCACGTGAAACACCCTCTATTATCATTACACTTTGGTGTGGTCTTTAAACAGGTATTAGTCCAGAAGTGAATGAACTGTTGATGGAAGCCCAGTTGCTCCAGGTATCCCTTCCTGAAATTCAGGAACTTTACCAGACTTTACTTGCAAAGCCAACCCCTGCTCAGCAAACTGACCGAAGTTCACCAGCTAGACCCAGCAGTGAGAAGGTGAGTGTCTGACAGGCAGCTGGGGAATATAGTCTAGGGTTGGGAGCATGATTTTTAGGTCATTCCATCTAAATAGTTCGGTGAATGAGATGCTGTCTTCGATCATGAAAAAGATGCAAACTGTCTAATTCACAACCCCATTCCTAAGACTGTCAGTGAGCAGAGGGGTGCTAGGCATCACTTTGGGCTCACATCCTGGAGTTTGGTGCTGTTTTTTAAGTGACCGTGAATTTTTTTTTCCTCTTAGCATGGTGCTTTTTATCATTCCGATGTGATAATAGCTAGAAGCAGGATTATTTTTTTGTAAGGGAAATACTGTAGAGATGAAAATCTAATTATAGTTGGGAAGGCCTTTTGGTATAAAGCTTTCAAAACCTAAAGAACATCTTGGAGTTAACGTTTAACAAATGCTTTAATTGCTCTAACCCTAACAGGACAGCTGGTGTAAGGACTGGGTCATCAGACTGAGGGTGCCTGTTTTGAGTGCTGACTTACTTGAAGGGGATAGATACCATGTGTGTTCTGTGTCTTAGCTTAAAGATGCTGCTACTTTCTCTTAGTAAGCTAACTGACCTACGACATTCAAAACTCCTGAGAATATAGTCAGGATAGGGAAGAATCTCACTATCAAATACCATTTAGAATTTTATTTTTTTAATATTTTTAAATTAAAAAAATATTTATTTGAGAGAGAGAATGTAGAGCGAGGGGCAGAGGGAGAGGAAGAGCAGACTCCCCACTGAGCATGGAGCTCGATCCCATGACCCTGAGATCATGACCTGAGCCGAAACCAAGAGTCAGATGCTCAACCAACTGAGCCACCCAGGCACCCCTAGAATTTTATTTTTCATTACGATACCAAATAGTAGTGTAGCACCATTATTGGTTATGTTCAGTTAATGAACCTTATTTCTGTATGGGGTGGGGATGTATGTCCTTAAAGAAGGAAGGTATTAGCATGGTTCCTTAGAAGTCTGTAGGTCAAAGGATAAGCATACACACCTAGGTAGAAACTACATGGTAGTCTTTTACTCCTGTAGTTGGTGAAGAGGAGAATGTAGGCATCTCCGCATCTTCTGGTGCTAATTTGAAAGCTAATCATGTCTTTAACATTTCCTTTTTCCACTATTTCTTTCTTTTTTTTTTTTTAAAGATTTTATTTATTTATTTGAGAGAGAGAGCATGAGAGAGAGCACATGAGGTGGGGGGGGGGTCAGAGGGAGAAGCAGACTCCCCGCCGAGCAGGGAGCCCGATGCGGGACTTGATCCCGGGACTCCAGGATCATGACCTGAGCCGAAGGCAGTCGCTCAACCAACTGAGCCACCCAGGCGCCCCTCCACTGTTTCTTTTGATAGCACTAACAGTTCGGTTAGCTAAACTCAAGCAGGTTGTCCCATAGGACATGAGGGGATGTGATGGCAGTGGTGTCAGGATGCAGTATTTTTTTTTTTTAATAAGTCTTCCCTACACCTGATGTGGGGCTCGAGCTCAGCCCGAGATTGAGTCGCACGCTCTTCTCCAACTGAGCCAGCCAGGTGCCCCGGGTTGCAGGATTTTTAAAATGTTGATGAGAGATCATCTGAACTCTTATACAGCTAATACCTCACTAGTTTGAGTAACACGCAAAACTGTCGGCTAAAACTGACTTTGCCTATCCACCCAGAATGAGTGCTGCCGCGGGAAGCGAGATGGAATCAACAGTCTTGAGAGAAAACTGAAGAGACGCCTGGAAAGAGAAGGCCTCTCCAGTGATCGGTGGGATCGAGTTAAAAAAATGCGGACCCCCAAAAAGAAGAAAATCAAACTGAGCCACTCCAAGGACATGAACAGTTTCAAGTTAGAGAGAGAGCGTAGCTATGAATTAGTCCGTTCTGCCGAAACTCATTCCCTGCCCTCAGACACATCCTATTCCGAACAGGAGGACTCTGAGGATGAAGATGCCATCTGCCCAGCTGTGAGCTGCCTGCAGCCAGAAGGAGATGAGGTCAGTGAGGTTTGGGCCATAGAGGACGTGCTTTCCCTTAACTCAGAAACCCTGTAAACTACACCTCATCTCGCTGGGTCTTTCTCTTCTGCTTATCTGCTTTGAGCTGATCTGAATGGATTGCTCAGCCCTCCCCCACTGATATCTCTGCTCTTAACCATCGTTCCTGGGTCTTCTCCCTTTTCTTGAAGAAACTCTTATTCTTCCCTTTTTCCTCTTCCTGCTCTTCCAGCTTTCACCGTCCCGGCGCTAAGAAGGTGGGAGGGATGCTGATGTAATGCCCTTTTGCTTACTTACCACAGGGCGGCGCTGTCTTAACCCCAAAGCAGTCACGACTTGAAGAATGGCTTTGACTTGGTTGCTTTGGCTGGTGGGCCAGCTGCACTCATGTGGCGTAGCTGTTGTGCCTGAGGTCCCGGTGGTGGGACAGTGGCCGGTAGTGGCATACGGCCTGAATATCTTGAGGCTGGCCTGCCCAATTTTGAATCACATTTTTTCCTCTGAAAACCCCGTCTCCCTGCTCTTTGTAACCAGGTGGACTGGGTCCAGTGTGATGGCAGCTGCAATCAGTGGTTTCACCAGGTCTGTGTTGGTGTTTCTCCAGAGATGGCCGAGAAGGAAGACTACATCTGTGTGCGCTGTACTGTGAAGGACGCACCAAGCCGAAAATAAAAAACACAAACACAAACACCCCCCACCCCCAACCACTTAATGTAATTCAGGACTCCAACCAAGAAGATTTCTTCAATTTCTCAGCAAAGCTGCAGGACTGGTATTCAAACCAGCCTGTAAACGGTGCTATTTCTATTCCTTACGGGATCATTTTTCCAGAACTCTTTGAAAAAAAGAAAAAACAACTAAAAAAATTTTTGACACTTTTTGTATTTTTTTCCTTACGAGCTGTTTGTGGTTGTTGAGGTTTGAAATGCTGACTGGTTTTTCCGCAGGGGTTTCCACCAGTTTGGAAGGCATTGGAGCTTTTGCACCTTTCCATGTACAGCATTAAAATCTTACCTCTGTCTGGGATTTACCGGCTTACGAGTCCAACTCAGTTTCAGTGCCCAGAAGGGCACCAGAAATTCCAGTAAATCCTCATTTGAGGAATTTCTCTCTTGTTTACTCTGTTACCATATTGGGGAACTTAAGTTTTTCACTTTTGGGGTTTTTGTTTGTTTCTTTATCCACTTTTCTTTTTCCTGGTAGACTAGGTTTATTTATCAAAGCAATAACTTCTGTGTTGGTTTCAGTGGCTGGAATTAAAACAAAACAAAACAAACTTCCAAACAGTGTGTTGGTGCTTTAGCATTTGGTTGATGTACAGAACACAAATGTCTAGTTTCTAGTGTCACTGATGAACTAGTGATGTAGAAAAGAGACTGCTCTGTAAGTAATTGCCACGGCTGTATTTTGGCTTTTCCCCTGCCCCTCCCTTCCTCTCCTACTATTTTTTTGGTAGCTTGTATCAAATTGTTGCAGTTTATATTGTGGAATAAATCCTTGGTCCTAATTTAACACTAAATGCTGGTTATTTAGAGCCATTAGACTACAGCTTCTTATGCCCCTCTACCTTGTGGGCTTGGAGGAGCGAGACGGGGGGTTGCTTGCTTTTGCCTCTGCCCAACTAGGCTACAGTAGCAGTGGATTGTTCTTCTGTATCCTGCTCTGTTTGGTGGGCCATATGCCTCCCATCTCTACTAATAACCCCACCCAGTCTTCACGGAATAGAACTTATCTTTAAAGCCATGCTGTTTTTAAATAAGCTTACCAGAATGGTGGCAAATCATTCCAATCCTCAAATCAGTCCTCCTGTGTAAATGGTGTCTCTATTATATTGGAATTGACAGGGAAACTTGGTTTAGGGTTAAGATGTCAAAAGAAAATTTAAGGAAGATGGATCTTTCCGGACGGCTAGGAAAGTGTGGGTCGAGGGACAGCTTGTGAACAGGCAGGCTCTGCCTCCGTGACTTCTTCCTGTCGCTTTCTAACTTTAGCTGCTGTTACTGGTTGTCGATAGTCCACAGCCTTTCCCCTCCTTTCTTTTATTTTAAAGGGCTCTGTTCTGCAGTGGAGAAGACCTTCTGGTGAACAGAACAGACTCTTGCTTGGTTTTTCCTCTTCTGTTGGTAATACTTATTTTCCCCCCATTTTGTAGCCATAAACCTGGAGATGGGTAGAACTAGTGGGTCTTTAATAAAACAAAACAACAAAAACAGCAGTTTGTGATGTAGCAGAGATTTAAATGTACTATATCCCCTTTGATGCAATTCAAATAATTAAATCTCTTTAAGAATGACTTGTAATTGTCTGCAGCTTTCCCACAGTTGTTGTGATGTCTCTCCTTGTCTGGTGGGGGTTCTGGGGCCAAAAGAGAAGAAGAGTCTCCAGAGTACAATCTGGAATAATAGTGGTTTGGCCTTTTTTAAGCATCCAAATTCTTAGAACCCCCTGACATTGGGACAGGATGCCATCTGTCCCAGTTCCATGGAGAATATAACTGAAAGGGGACACTGCAGCTGAAATAAAGCTTTGCCTTTAGAGAGCTTTTGCCCATCTGGTATGCACCTCCTGTGCTCCCTCCTCGTGTTCTTCCTCACGTATGGGTTGTCCACAGTCCCTGACGACAGCATTCCCGGTGAGGTGGATTCTCTGCCTCTCTGAGTTAGTGGGGGAAGGGCAAGAAGGATATGTTTTTACCACCCCCTCCCCCATGAGAGGGCCACTGATGTGTTTACATATGATGATAGTGAAGTTGGAGAGAGCGTCACCTGCCCAGTGATACTGCTGGTGAATGACAAAGCCTGGGTGGTGTCTTGCAGGTCTCCTCTGGTTTTCCTCCTACCTTGTGCACTAACACAGCAAATGAACAAAGGTACATCTACCTTCTAATTGATCCCTTCTGTTAAGTACCCAGATCGACTACCAAGTGATGTTTATCTAAAAACCTTGTTTACTGTGTGTTAGCTGTGAAGTTGGCCTGTGTCCCAGAGAAACTTCTGCACCTGGAGAAAGAAGAGAAAACACACAGAGAAACTGATGCTTCATCTCAGTAATCCTGCAGCTGCATGAGGTGTGAGAAGGAAGGACTGTTAGCTGGAGTCTGAGCCAGAAGGGTGAAGGAGCCTAGTGAAGTTGGCACTAGAGGGTGATTGAGTGCCCCTGCCCCATGCCAGTGGCTCTTGTGTTTCTGTTTTTCCTTCTTTCAGATCAGACTCTAGAGGATTTCTTATGCAGAATCAGGAAAGGGCTTGTTTCTTATGTAGGCTCTAGGCTGGAGAAAGATTGTGTAATTTGATCAGCTGTAAAGGAGATGGACTTCTTTACAATTTCATTTCAGCATCCTGGGAGGTGGAACTCCCTTTTCTATCTGGTTAGCCTAAAGCCAGAGATACCGTCCGTGGTGGTGGAGGTTGGTAAAAGCCTGAGAGTCCCTGCTTCATTCTGCCATACAGAGCTTTAAAAAATGATATATAAAGATCTTCAGACTTTAGGTCTTTTGTTTTGGCAGAAGTATCTGGGATTCACTTAATTTGCTATTAAAATTAACATGACCCTTTGGGTGTTTGTGTAAGATAACCCTGAGAACAAAGTGGATGCCTACCTGGAAGGGGGTAAAACTTGGTGTTGCCTTGTACCTTTTGTTGAACTCTGAAGGCCCTTTTGTAATGGGTTTCTTCGTCTTCTGTTTTTTTCATTTATAATTTTGCTGGGTATTTGGCAGTCTCTTAAGACCTGCGTCTGGCTTGGATCAGGCACTGATTGATATTTAGTGCCCATGGGTGTTCTGGGCTCAGTCCTGCCTAGATTTCCTGCCACGTAACACAGACTGGAATGGATTATAGATGCTATGTACCTGTAACAGGAGATAGAATTGAACAACAAATATTTCAAGAGTCATTACCTAATCATCACCATTCAGTACCTGACTGTGCTAGTCTATGATAGGCGTCAGCCTGTATTAAAAGGTTTCTTTGCCATATTGATGTAGAAAACACAGTCCTCTTCTGATGAAAGTTTGCCTGTTGGGAAGAAGAGCTGAGGAAAACAGTGAAGATCCCAGTGCCTTGATTTAGCTCCATATGAGAGTTGGAATCCTTTCTCAGCTCCTAGTTGAGCACCAGAGTGATGGCCTCACACCTTTTGCCCCTGTCCTCAGTCCCTTGCATGTGGCTCCTCAAGCCTCCCAACTTCCTGAGAGGTTCCATGTGTAACTTGTAATAGAAATGTTATTGAAAAGCTGCCTAAACAAAACATTGTATAAAGTAGGAACTTGTGTAAAGTAATACTGTTGTAAATCCATTTTGAAAGTATAAAGAATCAATTTGTAAAGTGTATATTTCACGTCTTCCAAATTTATGTAAAGTTTTCATGTTTCATGACTGTGTTTACATAGGAATACATCTTTACATTTTTGTCAGTTGAATGGAATGTGTAAAACCAGCCAACAACAGGTCATCCAACTCCCTGTTCTGGTTCTGGGTTAGTTGTATAGGATGAAGGGCTGGGACATGGTGAGTTTGGATGTGTCTTTTATTTTCAGGATAACCTGCTGCATTGCCATCGAGGGATGGAATTGTGATGTCATTTGATCTGTTCCAGGTGAGTGGAGGCCAAAGGACTATTCTTTGTTTCCCCGTGGATGGAAAAATAGAGAAATTAAAAGTTGACTTTCTGAGGAAACAAAAGTTATTTTTTCAAAGATAAATGCCCAAAGACACCCTCTCCAAAAATTAAAAAAAAAAAGTTGAAGAGGAGTGCAGTTTCAAGCACTGACTCCTGTTGTCCCCGTGCCAGCGGTTTCTCACTGACCATAATTTTAGCAGGAATTTAAACAAAAGAAAGCCCCTTTTACACATCATCGGGACAGGTAGTTTGACGTTTAATTAAAAAGTCAGTTGAGTATGAAAGAGTTGTACATTTAAGTTAGCCTGTCATGTATGCTCAGTTAATAAACTCTAAAATTGAGGAAAATTACAGTTAGAAGGCAAGGACCTTCATTCACAATAATCCAATGTATGATCTATGATTTTCAGCTTGGACTTTTTTTAAATTTTTTTTTTCTTTTTAAAGATTTTATTTATTTATTTGACAGAGACACAGCGAGAGAGGGAACACAAGCAGGGGGAGTGGGAGAGGGAGAAGCAGTCTTCCCGCCGAGCAGGGAGCCCGATGCGGGGCTCGATCCCAGGACCCTGG